TAACACGTTATTTTAATGAACACATAATATAGTAAATTAATATATTGAAAATATTTTTAAATGATTTGCAGCTTCTACATTGAGTTCAGGCCAGGAAGTAGCCCAGCCAAGCATGTAGTTCTCAACCTATCCCATTAACCTCTGCACAAGAGCATTTTTTTGAGCACAGCAGATGTTTCTGGGAGTTGTAGTTCAGTTATAGTTTGGTATTCTATAAAGTGAACGTCTGCTGTCCAAGTACCAGAAGCATTTGCTATGCAACGGAAACAGGAAATCTCTGCTGGTGAGTTTGGGGCAAAATGGATAGGCTGCTTTCTTTCCCTTTTTTTTTTTTAAAATAAAGATTAGTAATAAAAAATAAATAAATAAAACTTTTTTCATACTCAGTGCACTGAACATGTGAGTGATTAAAGTATCCTTTTTACCATTTTAGTGCTTATAGGGACACTATAGTACCCAGAACAACTACAGCTTATTGAATATGTTCTGGTGAGTAGAATCATTGCCTTCAGCCTTTTTGCGGTAAACACTGTCTTTTCAGAGAAAATGCAGTGTTTACATTACAGCAGTGGTTCCCAAACGACTGGTGGGAGTTAGGGGTCTGGAGCTCTTCATGCATAGTGATAAATTCACTGGCCACTCCTCAGATGGCTGCTAGAGATCCTTCCTGGGTCATGGCTGCCTAAAATGCATCCAAACATTCAGTATCTCCTCCCTCTGTATGCAGACACTGAACTTTCCTCATAGAGATTCATTGATTCAATTCATCTATATGAGGAGATGCTGATTGGCCAGGGCTGTGTTTGAATCATGCTGGCTCTGCCCCTGATCTGCCTCTTTGTCAGTCTCAGCCAGTCCTATGGGGAAGCACTGTGATTGGATCAGGCTACCACTTCTGATGATGTCAGCAGACTGCTTGTTTTTTTTTTGAGGCAAACCGCATGCAGAGTTACAGCTTCTGGCTTGAATACAGTAAGAGTTTGCTATATTTATGGAGGCATGAGGGGCTCAGGGGGGCTAGATGGTGGTTTTAACACTATAGGGTCAGGAATACATGTTTGTGTTCCTGACCCTATAGTGATCCTTTAACAGAGTTTACGGTTTTATATATTTGAGCTCTTTGTTTGACTGGAAGCTGTGGCCCAATAGCCTGGTAATGTGAGAACATGTTAAGTTAATGCTCATGAAATGTCTTTCAATTTTTTCTACAGGATCTGTTAAATTTTGATGATCCTTTGAACATTGAAGCTGCAGAGCATCATTTGAGAGATAAGGTAAAAAATAGCTTCCCCTACCTTTCCTGACTCAACTCTCATTGTGCTTCTGATCCCAGTATCTTTATCCATCTCCTTCATGTTTTTAACCCAAAAGATTGACTTGTCACGTAAAAAACAGCTTTAATCAAATGTAAAAATGCTTTTTTTTTTGTCATGTTAAGATTTTCCTACTGTCTTTACCAGTTTTTATGATATTTTGTGTAAGATTGTCTTACAGGAAAGAGTCCAAATTTTCCTCTAGGAAATTTTAGTCTTTCCTAGTCCTGCAACAGATTCTATTTGTCTGTTTAATATGCTCTATGATCAGAGAGTATAAAGGTAAATATTAATGGGACACAAAAGACCAGTAAGGTCAATGGTTACTTATTACAGCTGTTTAAAAGCTGCTAGTAGATCAAAAACAACATAATTTGCTGTGAAAAGGGATATCAAAGTAATAATTAGGAAAACGTGTGATTAGGGATCTTGGGAGGTGAAAACATTATCATGTGTTTTTGCATACCTTAATTTTAGCTCAATGAAATGTATTTATTGCCAGACAGTTTGTGGTGTAAAAATTCACGTGTGTGGGATATAATTCCAGGTAGGGTTGCCACCTTTCTTGGAACAAATAAATTATACATGCGTGACATCTCAGGGAACAACATAAGAGGACAAAAATTTAAAACTACTTACAATTAGTTCTTTCTATACAGAGGAATTGCCACATAGTTTGGGTAAACTTGACTGAGGGGCCTGAGTGCTCACCCAATGGATCCAGCGGTAGGCTGTCTGCGTCACAGCCCTGTCTGTGGGCAGTGCATTTAAAAATAGTGCACTGAGTGCAACAAATGAAATAAGAGTACATCCGATCTCTCCCCATGTTCCATCTTCCTCGTATTGCTGTGTACTGTATGAGGGGATGGGGCCATGCAGAGACCAGTCTCCTTCAGACAGAACAAGATGATTCCAAAACCCACAGGGCCTGTGCAAGGTTTTTTGTCCTCTAGGCAAAAATGAATATTGTTACCCTCATTATGCCTCCCATGAGATATTTTTTTCACAGCTTTTGTATCTCTCTAGTCACTCCACTACAGCCTATTTCACCCCACTATAGCCCCCCACTACAGCCCCAAGTGCAACATAAGAATTAGCCCCCATACACACAACACCTAAAACAACATTTACACACACAATACAAGGAACTGCTGCCACACACCCCCTTCAACCCCTCTCTCCCTTCTGTAATTTTGCGCATATATATATATATATATATATATATATATATAAAAGGTGGGGGGGGGGGGTTGCATGGAGGAACATGGAAAGTTGGGTAAATTCAGTAATATCGACAGAGCCAATTCCCTGCTGCCATCAGTGGTGACTGCGGGGGGATTGGCGCTTCTAAACGGTGGTTGCTCCACCCAGTGTCTAGAAGTGTCAGGCATACAAAAAAATACTGAGACAAAGTGGTTTCACGTTAACAAAAGTTGGTAAACACTGTACAGAATGCTCACATTATATTGCTCTGCAGAGAAATATGAAAGCATGTTTTTCTCTTTATTATCTTTTTTCTTTTCAGTGATTGACATATTCTTGTTAATGAAAAGGTGTGAAGAACCCAGCATGTCTTTGAATCCCTTGTTTTTTCTGTATAGATAGAAGTACCGTATATACTAGAGTATAAGATGAGTTTTTCAGCACATTTTTTGTGCAGAAAACCCCCCACTCGTCTTACACTCGAGTTCGTGTCTGTATTATGGCAACTTACATTGCCATAATACATACCAGGACCACCGGGCTCATTACAAGCCCGGCGGTCCTGTTGGGGGTTGGCAGCGAGCTGTTACTTACCTTTCCTGCAGCTCCAGTCAGCTCCCCTGTCAGCTCCACTGCAAGTCTTGAGAGAGCCGCGGGGTCAGAGCGTTGCCACGGATTACCGTAGCAACGCTCCACGCGGCACTCACATCGCAAGACTTACATGGTTGCTGACCGGAACGCAGGAGCTGCTGTAAAGGTAAGTTACAGCTCGCTGCCAGCCCCCCTTCTACACAGCCCATCCACTGGACCACCAGGGAATGAGAGCCGGGCCATGTATCAAGCAGGGAGGGGGGACAAAAAAAATAACACAAAAATGTAAATAAAACAAAATAAAATAAAAATATTAATAATATAAAAAAAAATATTAAAATAATAATTTTTAAAAATAATAAAAATGTCCACCCCCGACCAAGGCTCTGCATCACATACACAAACACACTGTTATCATTAATGGTAAATTTTCAAGCTGGACAGAGATGGCAAGTGGTGTCCCTCAGGGGTCTGTTCTGGGACCCCTTCTATTTAACATGTTTATAGAAGTCATTGAAAGTCATGTTTCAGTGTTTACAGATGACACAAAACTTTGTAAAATAATACAATGTGAGCAAGATATTACTTTGCTGCAGAGGGATTTAGATAGACTGGGGGACTGGACACTCAAATGGCAGATGAAATTTAATGTTGAAAAATGCAAAGTTATGCACTTCGGCGTAAAGAATACACAAGCAACGTATACCCTTAATGGAAGCGAATTAGGGATAACAACACACGAAAAGGACTTGGGAATTGTTATAGACCACAAACTATGCAACAATGTGTAATGTCAATCAGCAGTGGCCAAGGCCAGTAAGGTATTGTCATGCATGAAAAAGGGCATTCATTCTCGGGACGAGAATATCATTTTGCCTCTTTATAAATCACTGGTAAGACCCCCATATTGAATATGCTGTGCAATTTTGGGCACCTGTTCAAAAGAAGGATATTATGGCACTAGAAAAAGTGCAGAGGCGGGCAACAAAATTAATAAAAGGAATGGAACATATCAGCTATGAAGAAAGATTAACAAATTTAAACCTATTTAGTTTAGAAAAACGTCGCCTGAGAGGGGATATGATAACATTATACAAATATATTCGGGGCCAAGACAAACCATTGTGTGGAAATCTATTCACAACCCGGACTTTACATAGGACACGAGGCCATGCGTTTAGACTGGAAGAAAAAAGATTTTGTCTAAGGCAAAGGAAAGGTTTTTTTTACTGTAAGAACAATCAGGATGTGGAATTCTCTGCCTGAAGAAGTGATTTTATCAGAGTCCATACAGATGTTCAAACAGCTACTAGATGCATACTTGCAAAAACAGAATATTCAAGGATATAATCTTTCAATGTAGGGTAATAACTGCTTGATCCAAGGATAAATCTGACTGCCATTGTGGGGTCAAGAAGGAATTTTTTTCCTAGCTTGTTGCAAAATTGTGCTTCAAACTGGGTTTTTTTGCCTTCTTTTGGATCAACAGCAAAAAACAAATGTGAGGAAGGATGAACTTGATGGACGCAAGTCTCTTTCCAGCTATGTAACTCTGCATCACATACACACACTGCACTCATATACACACACACACACACTGCACTCATACACACACACACGCTGCATTCATTATATACACACACTGTAAATAAATATTCAATTTATATAATTTGGGGGGGGGATCTAATTTTATTTAGAAATTTACCAGTAGCTGCTGCATTTTCCACCCTAGTCTTATACTCGAGTCAATAAGTTTTCCTAGTTTGTGGGGGTAAAATTAGGGGTCTCGACTTATATTCAGGTCGACTTATACTCTAGTATATACGGTATAAATCCTTTACAAATTAAATTGCCCCTGAAACAACAGACACTCTTCAGCTATACGGGTCAAGTGTCTCTTTAATCCATATAAATGGATGTACAACACTGCACTTTTTTTTTTCCCCCAGAGCATTAATATTGCAGGCTTTAGTGGTAAAAAATAAATAAATAAAAGGACTTGACATTTTGAGAGATGTCACTTTACCAAGGTCATTTGTAACCCAAGCTTCTTATATGATGGTATGTATTCACCTGTACAACCTTGATTTGACACACGCTTAATTATAAACTATCTGAAAAAGGTCACAATTAAATAGTGACCATTGATGACTTCATCTTACTTGTTTTGGTAAAATATCTTTGTCTATTAGCATGTGTTATGATACTTATCTGAACTTTTGTGCGGCTTCTATATATGAAATCCACAGCATTTAGTGAAAATATAAAATATATATTTATATGTACAAACTAACTTTATTTTTTTTATTTTATTTTTTTAAATATATATATTTTGAAAAGACTTGATTACCCTTACCTTATGTAATCTAAAGGAACATGCATGATTCTGAAGTCATAAAATTACAAAATTACATTTTGCATTAATATACAAATTGTCATTACTGCAGGATTGTAATACATGTGTGCGTCTTGTTATTTAGGCATCTTTGTATTCTAGCCCTGTATTTATGTTTGCTATTATTAGTATATCATAGACCATTGAATTGTATTTTTAAATTTTTGGTAAAACTGTCTGTGTTGATTTTATTCATTCAGAAATTGTGCAGAACAGCAAATATTACAGGTGCAGTCTACTCACCATAACCACGCCACTGCAGCCCCCACCAAACACACACTTCACAACAAACATTCCTCTCCACGCACTAAACCACAAACAGAATTCTAAACACACACTACAAAGAGGCTCCTCCTCATGCACACACTGCAAACAGCGCCCACCATGTACATACAAGCAGCCCCCTCCAAAAACATACATCTCCCTACACACACACAAACTCTGCAAGCAAGCAATTCCACAAGCCACCCCTTTCTCACAAGCAGCCTCTTCACACACGCACACACACACACACACAACAAACCGTCTCAAATTCAGCACCGCTAGTATCCACCACAACACATCAGTCAGTCCTGGCCAGGGGCGGGCTGGGCAGGGAGGCAATTGCCCCTCAGGCCGCTCTAAATCCTTTTAAGACCGGCCGCTGCAGGGCCGGTCCTAATGCTGCAGCCGCCTGAGCGCTCTGTAAAGAGCCTCAGGCGTCTGCAGCACAGCTTCTCCCCTTCCCTGTAGCGTGGCCGAGCTCCTCTCTGGTCCGCGGTGCCTGGCCGGAGTGATAGGAAGGTGCACACTCAGTGTGCACTTCCTGTCAGTCCGGCCGGTTACAGGAAACAGAAACTCTGCGCGGAGTAAGAAGGGGGGGGAGAGTAAGAAGAGGAAGGAGTAAGAAGGGGGGGGATAAGAAGAAGAACAAGAGGGGGGAGATAAGGGGGAGTAAGAAGAACACAGGGAGGAGGGGGGGAGTGCAGAAGAACACAGGGAGGAGGGGGGGAGTAAGAACAGAACACAGGAGGAGGGGGGGAGGCGCAACAACCACAGGAGAGGAGGCAGCCACCACAGGAGGAGGGGGGGGGGAGTAAGAAGAACACAGGGAGTGAGGGGAGTAAATAAAATACCAGGGAGGAGGGGGGGGGAGTAAGAAGAACACAGGAGGAGGGGGTGGAGTAAGAAGAACACAGGGAGGAGGGGGGGGGGGCAAGAAGAACACAGGGAGGAGGGGGGAGTAAGAAGAACACAGGAGGAGGGGGAAAGAAGAACACAGGGAGGAGGGGGGGGAGTAAGAAGAACACAGGGAGGAGGGGGAGCAGAAGAACACAGGAGGAGGGGGGGTAAGAAGAACACAGGGAGGAGGGGAGAAGAAGAACATCGGGGAGTAAGAAGAACACAGGGAGGAGGGGGGTGAGGAGAACACAGGGAGGAGGGGGGGTTGAGAAGAGCACATGGAGCGTGGGTGAGTGTGAGAAGAGACCGCTAGGGGAGGGTGGGGGAGAGGAGAGACCACTAAGGGGCAGTGGAGCGCTCTAAGGGACAGAAGGGACAGCTCTATAGGACAGGGGGCAAGACATGGAGCTCTTTCACACTATGTGAACACATACACAATGCATCCCTATACATACACAGAAACACACAATGCATCCCTACACACACAGAAACACAACATGCTTCCCTTACACACAGAGAAACACACAATGCATCCATTACACACACACAATGCAACCCTTACACACAAAGACAATGCATCCTTTGCACACAATGCAAACCCTTACATACACATGCAAACACACACACTGCTTTTTTTACATACACACAGAAACACAATGCATCTTACACTCAATGCACACACATACAGACACACACCTTGAATCCTTAATGCAAACAAACACAGATTCACACAATGCATCCCTTACACACAACCAGAAACACACAATTACATCCCTACACACTGCTTCCACTACACACAAACACACTGCATCACCTACACAAACTGGTATCCCTATACACTACATACCATAAGCACACATATTAGATCCTCTACAATAACACATAACACATCCCCTACACACTCCACTCCCTGTGAGCGAACTCGTGGGTGGAATATATAAGTGGACTTATTAGTGGGCCTTATGGGCATACTCACCGTTAGGCCCTGGGGCCCAGACCTTGAGCTGTGTAAGGGGCCCCAAAAAAATGGAACTGCTTCCAATTCTCCCAGAACATTGAATTTTGTGACCACAGTTGCAAATAGCCTCCAGAGATCCTGTTCTACACCAGACCAGTGGAGCCAAACTGCAGCCCATCATCATCCTCATCTGGTTGTAAGTAGGCAATCTAGTATATTATTAGTGACACTAATCTATAATGTACCTTTCATTAAAGGGACACTATAGCTTAATGAAGTGGTTCTGGTGTCTATAGCTGGTCCCTGCAGGCTTTTTAATGTAAACACACACTGTGTGCAGCACTGGTGTTAGTTCATATGGGTGGGGCATTGTGATGTTACATGGGGGGGCAGCAAATTTTTATTTTGTCTAGGGCGGCAAAAATCCTTGCACCGGCTCTGATCCTGGCAGGTGCACCAGTCTACTGGTGACCCACAGGAGGGGAGTGCACTGATTGCACTGCACTCTCCTCCTGCCCAGCCCCATCTTTACCGCAGTGCAAGTGCCCTCTGCCCCTAATTTACAGTGGCTCACACTCACAACAAGCAGTGCCTGGAGCCGTGAAGGAGCGGGTAGGGCAAAGAGCTACTGATTAGCATAACATCAATATCCGTTATAAAACCAGGAAAAGGTGGGCATGGATGGTGAACTGATTTGGTGGTGCAATGGGCCACTTGACTGGTTTTGCCCTCCAGGCCTAAGGCTGCCAGCCCTCCCCTGGAGGGGGTGATTAGTGACAGAGTGAGGGAGGGGGTGACTAGTGACAGAGTGAGGGAGCGGGTGACACAGTGACAGAGTTAGGGAGGGAGTGACTAGTGACAGTCACCCCCTCCCTCCCTCTGTCACTAGTCACTCCCTCCGTCACTAGTCACTCCCTCACTCCGTCACCAGTCATCCCCTCACTCCGTCACCAGTCACCCCTTCCCTCCCTCACTCTGCCACTAGTCATCTTTTCCCTCCCTCACTCTGCCACTAGTCATCTTTTCCCTCCCTCACTCTGCCACTAGTCACCCATTCCCTAACTCTGTCACTAGTCACCCCCTCTCCCTCCCTATGTCACTAGTCACCCCCACTCACTGTGTCTCCCCCTCACTCTGTCACCACTCAACCCCTCCCTCCCTCACTCTGCCACCTGTCACAACCTCCCACACTCTTCCACCTGTCACCTTCTCCCTCACACACTGTCACCTGTCACATATGCATTCACACAGACACTATATACAAAAAAGCACATGTAGTCATCCCGACATGCACAAGTGCATTCACACAGACTCAAATACAAACATGCCTTGATACACAGGTCTTCACAATATACACATCCAAAGGAATGCTGTATTATGAGTTATATTTAACATTTATTTAATGCACATATATTTGGCCTTCAAAGGGCCTGGGATCTAATTTTGCCCGGGGGCCCCAAAGGCTCTCAGTCCGCCCCTGGACAGAATGCAGGACTGGAACACTCTGGGTATTTACAGTCTCTTCCAGTCTCTTCCAGTCATTTACCAAGCTGTGTTTTCTGCACACAGCACTAAAATTTAATTATCTGGAAACAGCACTGGAATGTCAGGTACTGCAGTGCACACAGTAAAGACAGTAGGCTTACTTCTGGTCTGCATATATGATGAGCAGTGTGTCTCCTGGTTACACTCTCCTGCTAAGCTCTGCCTCTGCCTCTGCCTCCTGTTTCAGATGCTCTTCAGCTGCATGCCCCACAACAACAGGAGGGGACAGTTGCAAAACTAAAATGGCTGAAGTGTAACTGGTTCACCAGACTATACATGCCCCCTGCCCCCTATGCCCTTCCCTCTTTCTATGTCCACCAATCTATACAGCCTTGCTCAGCACAACTGCATATTTGACTCTGTGGGGCTGGATTCTGGTTGAAATTCTGTAAATTTCAATGGATTTTTCCATCCAGACAAGTGAATCCAGTGTCTAGTAAATAACTCTGTGAATGTTGCCTTACGTTAGCTATATGTAGAAAGGAAATACTTAGCTGATCAAGGTTGTATTTATTTAAAAATAAAATTGAAATTAATAAAAGCTTAAAATTGGCTTGAAGACCACAAAGAACATTTTCATTTGACCACAAAGAACATTTTCATTTGGTTCTCAATAATTTGAACCCTTTATTCCATAACTCTTTCTATAACTCTTTGGGAGAAATTTGTATTCTAAGAAAAAATATAATTGAACTTGAATTACAGACTAACCGAATCATACAATGAAAACTATTTTGGGGGGGCCATATTCTGACTCTGATCATGACACTAAAAATTAGATAATTGATGGAAAAAATAGATGATTGGTGGCTAAGGGACAGTCACTAAATGCTAATTTTATATTTTATTCACAAATCAAGTGAGAAGTGATCAATATAGAGAAAAACAGGAGGAAAAGTAAAAACAATGAAAAATCTATTAATCCATCTATCTATCCATCTATCTATCTATCTACAGGGAGTGCAGAATTATTAGGCAAGTTGTATTTTTGAGGATTAATTTTATTATTGAACAACAACCATGTTCTCAATGAACCCAA